AATTTTCTTTTTTATATTAATATTTTTATCTTTATTATAGTGAGAAATATTTCTTGTTCAATTACAAAATTTCAGTGTATATAAGTTTTGTAACTGTCATCAATGAATAGTCAATAAAATCTTTTCATTCTCGATCTCGCTATCACTTTCTTCACTAACATTGACAATATTTCCTGGATTTAAAGCCACATTACAGATTGAAGTTTGGGAAATTTAACTTTATCATTTTAATTTGGCATTTTTTTCACATATTTCATTAATTGAGAAGTTTACTTGTGATCAGTGGCATTGCTATGGGTGTACAAGGTGGGATATCAGTCCCTGGGCACATCATGCATAAAATTTTCTTTCCCTTTCCCATTGAATTTTGGCAATTAGGAGAGGGCACAAAATCTGCAGTTATCTCCAGGCGCTGAAAGCGTTAGCTACACCTCTGCTTGTGATATTTGAAAAGGTTCTCACTGACAGTTAGCATCATCATAATGAAATATGTTAATTAGCTACAAATCATGCCAAGCATTTTAAAAATTGCTTGGAGGTACATCCTCTCATAACTTTGTAATGCTTCATACAGCAGATTTTGTATTGAAATATTTCAAGAATTCTTTGATGGTCTTCCTTTGCATCAATTAAAAAAAAAATGCTGCTGTATGCATAAAATTCAGTTTTGATGAGTGAGTAAAGCGAAGATGTTATAAAATAAAAGATTACCTTTTATTAAAATTTTAATTTTGATAAGATAATAGTAATAATAATAGACTGAACAAAATATAAAGGTAGACCAAATCAGGAAGTTAAAGAAGAGTGCAACTCACAGTGTGCTAAGCTTAAGTGCATCAGAACTTCAAACTTTCTTCCTTCTTCCCTGCTATGCTAACAACAGTAAACTAATATATCGCACTCCTCTACAATTCCTCAAGTCATTTGTTAGGAAAGTCCTCAAGGACTCCTCTTTCCAGGAACTCCCAGTAAGAAATAAATAATAATTTAGACAGATACTTGAAGTATTGGAATGGCCTAGAAAGAAATCTGTTGCAGTGTTCCATCTTAAATCTGACCATGACTGCCTTCGTAAGCTCCTCCAATGCATCGGTGTCATTCGTGACTCTCTTTGTCCCTTATGCAGTCTTAAGGAAAACATGGAGTAGCCACATTCCCTCAAATGCCATGTTCTTTCCCGTATTTTGATTTGGGAACACTCCTGGGTGGCAAGGAATATCCTGATTTTGAACTCCGTGATGTCAACTTTCTCTTCTTTGTTTTGTGTTTTATTTAATGTTCAGTTGTCTTGTAATGGGCTGTTAGAAAATTAAAAAACAAATTCTACTCCGAACAAATGTAGATATTTGAACTTCGCTGATTGTGTACAGGATTAGATAAAATAATAAGTGCTGTCCCCACTCAAGAGCGCGAAACGAAAATGTGTTTTGCTAGCCAGTAAATATTAAAAAGCAGAACAAAATGCAGGATTATTCAGTACTGCTGGCAGATGATGGTGTCTGTAGCCAAAAGAAACCTCAACTAATCATAAGAAACATCAATTTATGGCACATTTGCCTTATCGATTTCTGGCACATCAGATTTCATACTTTGTACTGTGTGTATATTGTTGCGTTCTACGGATTCATGGATTTGGATTAATTGATGGTAAAGTTTGATGCAGAATCAAAACACAGTTTATTTGGAAAAAGCACAGTTACACAGGACAATTCAAAAGACAAGTTTACAGTAATCGAAAAACTATGATAAATTGCCTGAAACAATCAGCAACACAGCCTTCAGGCTGTAACGGGGAAGGCAGCTTCACAGCAAAGCACAAAAATACAGCTCCTGACTCGGTCGATTGCTGTTAGGCTAATCTCTAAATTCAAACACTCTACTACACTACTACTCTGTGTACAGGCTGGTTATATATAGCTTTAACCTACTTTGAGAATATTCCTGGAAAAACTGTTAACGCATTCTAGAATGTTCTGTATATGGCATATCACCAAATTTGTTGTCAAATGGGCAGTTTTATGCCGAATGCTGCAACCCTGCCTTTTCCTGTCACTTCCTGGCAACCCTAAACCAATTTTGTGAGGAAGTTATCTCACCACAGCTGGCCATTTTGCAACATTGCCCCCTCCCAAGGACTGCATGTCTCGCGGAGTACAGTCCTTAGTCCGGAGCCAATTCAGTATATACAAAAGGTAAGAAAACAAACAAATGAAGTAAACGAAAATAAAAGAAACAAATATTTACACTATTTACAAGTAACTACGTGCAAGTTATGCACACAAATTAATCATGTAAAGTATATTTGAATTTTATAACAGTTAATTAATTTAATTGTGTTTTCCTATCGTTTCTCATTTCAACTTACAGCTTCCTACCTGAATGAGTTTTTAGAATTGCATTGAACGCAAGTGCGTAAAAAATAGTATTTAAGGAAATTTCAGCTTATTTCATGAGAAAAAACTAGGAATCCTGAGTAGTGCATGTTTGCCTTCGGGCTAAGTCTTGTTAGAAGTTGTTACGCTCGGCTGTATATTATGTGCCTTTTGATATTCGCTGGCTAGTTTAAGCTAAGGGGCGACTGCATTAGATTTGTGTTAGCTTCAGCTAAATCTCCTAGTTAGTTATAGTTAGTTCTTATTTCTTATTTTTTAGTTTAAGCCCAAGTGAAGGCTTTGTTGTAAGCCCGAAGAAGGGGCCAACTGTTCATCTTATTTTGAGTGAAATAAAGAGTAGATAACCCTTCTTGATTTTATGATTTCTGTTATTTGAACTAAGCGATAATTCGCTTAACAGTTCACTAGGTTCCTCGACATTTACTTTAGTAGAATGAGAGTGCAGTTCTCAGATGTATTTCTGTTTTGCGTATCACGGTCTGAAGATTCACTCCTTTCAGATTTTTCATCCACAGAAAGATCTGAAACAGTTTGCTGACAACTCTGTAGTTTATTCACATCATGTATACAATTCACCTTGGTATTTTTAGCAGATTAGATGTTTCATCCTTCATTTCTTGATCTTTCTTAGACATGTCACCAGCTACTCCGTTCATTTCTTCATCCTTTGATTCTTTAGATGCCACTACTGTTATTTACACATCTTTTATTTTGGCTGCAGTTTCTCCTGTAAGCTCCACGATATCGCTTCTAATCTTGTTTTGCTCCACTTCCATCCATTGGAGTTGCTCTTACAGCTTTTCGTGTGTGGCTTTTATCTCTTCTTGACCCAATTTTATTTTGCTCTTGATCTCAGTTTTCCTCTGTTCTCGTCTGGATTTTACAGCTGCTAAGAAGTCCATCAAAGCCTTCATTTCCTCCGACATGGCTACTCCTGTAAGTGGATCACTGGCATTCACTCAAAACCCCATTTCTGACACCAGTTATTGCTTTCTACAGGTTCATGGATTGGGAGTAATTGATGACAATGCTTCCTGAAGAATCAAAACACAATTCATTCAACAGTAAGCCCTGTTACACTGGACAATTCAAAAGACATGTTTACAGTCATTGAAAAACTATGATAAACATGCTGAAACAATCTGTACACAGCCTTCAGGCTATAATGGTGAAGACAGCTTCATGGCAGAGCACTGAGATATAGCTCCTGACTCGGTTGATTGCTCTCAAGCTAATCTTTGAAACCAGGACACTACTACACTACTGCTCCGCGTATGGGCAGGGTATATGTAGCTTTAACCTACTTTCATGAATAATCCCAAGAAAACCCTAAGAATGAGTTCTAGTATGTTCTTGCTCTGTCTATGTTATATTTGCCAAATCTGTTGCCAAATGGACGATTTTGAACCAAATGTGGCAAACCTGCCACTTGCTGGCAACCCTAAACCCACTTTATGAGGAATTTATCTCACAGCAGCTGCACGTTTCAATACAATACATTCTATGTTGTCCTGAAATAAAAGTTGTGTGTTAATTTAGTATCTTTCTGATTTTAGCAACAGCTAATATTATCATGCACTCTCATCAGATCTTTAAATTATCAAAATTATATTACTTATGAATATAAATAACAAAATAAGTATTTAAAAATATAAGAGAAGGTGTGAAAGGAGAGAATTTGTGAAGTTAAAAATTTTAATTAGAATATAAATATAAAAATTTGTGCAAGTACCTTAATGTTAGACATAGATAAATTACAAAATGCAGAGTTTAACATGATACTACAAATCCTGCCAAATATGAAAGTTAGTGGATATCACTTACAGTTTAGTCACATTAAATCATAATAATTATAAATTATATCAATATAAATTGCAATCGTATTAAATCACTTACAGTTTTTCATGTTGCATCGCCATTGTTCATCCCTTTTCATATAGAATGTGTATCGTGGCGTTTGTTGATGACCAGATTCTGTAAAATACTCCACTTCATGCAGTCCCAAAGTGAGGGAAAAATAGAATTTATATCCATCTTTACAAAAGTTAAACCGATTTATCAAGAATGAAATGAATTTTCATTAAAGTAAAGCGAACATCTTATGATTGTGTTGTGATGTCATGCTTGCCTATTATTAGCATTAAATCATGCTGTAAGACAACAATGTATACTTTTTAATAGTGCTATGAGCTGTATAATGGTGTTACAAATCTCTCATTTACTAAAAAAATTTTCTTAAAATTCTAATATATTTCAGCTACTTGCGCTTTCTGGTTAATTGAAAGTTGGATAGTTGGGCTTTTACTATATATATATGTGTGTAGAGAAAAATAGGATTTTATTAATTTATGAAATGAACACCTTTATATTAGTTTATTTTAATTTTATTTTACTTATCTACAATATATGAAAGCATTTTAAGAATTCCAAAATTAATTTTTGTTACTGTCAGTTAGTTATTTTTGTACTTCTTTCTGTCACCAACTTCTGTGTGCATGTGTATGAAGAGGGGGTATAATTAATAAGGAATGATTATTTCATATTGATTGAATATGAAATGGCTTCATATTTATATAATTTATTATAAAGTTTTGTAATTTCATTTAGGCGTCCGAAGACAGTGTGCTGGTGTCCCTTCTTGCCAAGAGAGCCTCTTCAAATAAAAAGCACAATTGTGATTCTGCAGCATCCAGGAGAGGTGAAATATTTAGTTTTGTATTAAAATGCCTGAAATGTTTTATGGACCATTTTATGCAATAATTTATTTGTTTTTTCCCCTTCATATACTACATTAAACACATTCTGAAATACTCTGTGTTTCATAGAAACGTGCAATTAGCTAGATTAAAATATCTGTTCTGATTATATTTTAATGTCCATATAACTAACTCTATTTAAATGTTTAATCGTATTATTATATGCATAATATTGTTTAAATTTTTTTAGCTTTTTCATTAGAATGTCAAAAAAGTTTTAATCATCACTATTAAATAACTATTGAGCATTAATAAAAGTGTGCACTGTATACAGAGATACATAAGAGTCCATTTGAGAAGAATCACATTAATTTCATTGTAACTTTAAACATTGCATTTTCTGAGTGATGTCTTTATTCATTTTTATTTAATCTGTATAAAACCTTTTAATTGTTTAGTAGGAATAAAGTTGTAATTTTTATCATTATGAAACTCTCAAAGATAGTAATAGAGCTTCTGGGTGGGTCTGTGGAGTAAAATATAACTTGAATTTATTTTTTTTTCACCCTATTTAATTGTTGCATGCATATGGATTCATAATGGATTGAATGCACACAAAGCTAATAATCGCTTGATAAAATTTATGTTCCCAAAAGGAACACTTTACAGTTCTGGAACTTTCCACAAAAGTACTTATACAGCTCTTCTCTATATCACAGAGCACAATCAGTATTTACACTTCATTCTACTAAGAACTTTAAACACAATGCAGTGCATAACACATCCTAAAGGTGAGGCTGTCACGGATATCTCCCGATACTCTGAACTAAAAACTGAGAAACTGATGCTTCCTCCTGTTTTACATAGTTCCCCCCCCCCCGCCATCGAGAAATCATTAGTACCTTCCGTTTCTTGAAATCACTGAAAGTATATATGATTAGAGTTACATGAGCCACATATGGTTAGTTACATATAAGGATCAACTGCAGTTATACAAGGCCTAAATTTTGCCAAATGGTCGCGAAGTTTGGCGACAAAAATTAGTTGCCAAAATCATTACCACCTTGGCACTATTTGTTAACAGCTTTAGTTCTTTATTATTATTATTTTGGAAAAGTGCATAATGTTTGCTGTAGTTTTTATCATTTTATTTAAAATTTGATAAAGGGCATGTGATTTGATTAAGAATTATGTAATAAACCATTCATGACAAAATCAGACTTTGTTAATTATATCTCTGTTTGGTTGTCTTTAAAGTAATGATAATAATATATATATATATATATTCAAAGCATAAAAGAATGCTCTATAAGTGTGATTCTGGAATTTTTTAATGAAACTTCTGTTCTTATTGTGAATGTACTTGCAATTATATATTGAATGTCTGAGATCCGTACTGAAGATTGTTATGTTTAATATAAACTGCTTGTGTCAAATTGTGTCCAGTTCAGAAGGATTTTCATTTTCACATTATTGAACTTTTTTTAATAAAAGTCAGCATTTTTATAACATTTTTTTTTTTATAACATAGAGATTGATTTTCACTTAAAAAAATCAGAAAATTGCACAGATTTGTCATTGTGCACATAACAAATCTATATATATATAAAATAGTTATTTTTTTCAGGAAGTTTTATGTATCATAAGGGTTGCCACCATCTAGTTAGATTTCACACCAACGTGTATGTTTGGCACTAAGTTGTGCTGCCTTAACAGAAAAGAATAACATATTTATTTGGCTTATGTATATTTTCACAGGAAAAGCCATTATTCATTTTTTTTCCTGTATTTTATGTCTCTTCATACCAAATGCAATTATAGTCTTAATTTTTATCTCTTAACTGTATTGACATATGTATATGTATTTATTTATTGTACAGGAGAAACGCTGTTTGCGCACTGCTCCAATGCTAGAGTATGCTCTTCCTACGAAAAACTTTCTGTTATTCAAAGGTCGAAGATTTTCTTCTGGAATGTATGTTGTGTTTTTGTACTTTGTCCCTTTATTTGATAGTTTAGCTCAATTCTTTGTAACATTTATTTAATTATGTATCTAAATAAATAATGTTTTGCTGCATATTTTTATTGCCTGTAACATTCAGATTTCAGCATGATGATAAATACTTTGAAATGTTGATGTACTTAATCTATTATAATATTCACAGACATCCCACTCATGTGAAAAATCATAAAAAGTTGGGAAACAAAAAAATTTCAGGGAAACTTTACGAAATTGTATACTTTTTCTAGTTGAAATTTTGTTCCCAAAGAGTTAGGAATGTAAAAAAAGGGGAGAAAAATAAAGTATGGAATAATCTTTTAAGTGGCAAAGAGGTCTTGCTTTATACAGTTACCAATAATAGCTTCTCTTTAAAAACAAAGCAATGAAAATGTTCATAGCAATATATTACATATTTGGAAGAAAATATGTTGATTTGTGAGAAGAAACTAAAAAAAAAAAAAAAAGAAGAAGAAGAAGAAGAAGAAATGCAAAAAGTAGAAAATGAATTAAAATAGCTATGAATACTATATAAGATGTAGAATTTAAATCATAATTATTAAAATGATAACTTTAAAAAACAAGTATAAATTTAATTACTAAAAAGGTAATTTTTTTTACATATGATAAATTAAAAAATATCATTATGCGACTGCTATGAAATTAAGTTTTTTTTTAGCTAGTACACATTTACTTCCTGTGTTTTTGCAAAAATAAATAGATTAATTAAGAAATCCTCTTCTTATATTATTGTATGTTATAATAAATAGCTGCTTTAATTTAATATTTTTCCAAATAAAGGAATTTCTTTGTTCTTCAGTTTCAATTTGAAATAGTGTATTTGTTATGAATAATGTTTTTTCATCAGTTTTAGTTTTCAGAAGGAACAGTTTGATTCTTTAAAGCCTATCTGTTTGTTTCATAATGTGTGAGTAAATTACAGTTTTATACTGTTCTTTGTTGTTTTATTCAAAGTAAATGAATAAAATGGCTGAATTACTCATACATCAGCTGATTATTAATTCATAATATTTGGTTAGAGAATTGTTTAGTTGTGAAATATCAGGAAAAAGCAAAGAAATAAAAACTAAATTTCAGTGAGAATTCGGTTCAAATTTATTTTTTATAAAACAAATGGATGTTCTCTAATAATTAAAATTTCCAAATATTGTTAATTTCACCATTGTAACATTATATAAATTATGTTATAAATTTTAATCCTGACAGTTAAATTATACGGGAAATATATTATCATGCTTGGTATTAAATTGATAGTTTTTAACCATAACTAATACTCAGATCCCTAATGAACTTATGTATCCTATGAAAACATGCTTTGCCTAAATATCTGTCAAATCCATATACTCAGTATAATATATAGGTAGAATGGCTGGTCATTTACAGAGTATTTACTGTATGAATTACAATGGGGGACTAAAATTTACTTGCCTGTTTTATGAACTTTATTTGAATTATGGTTAGCTGTTTTTAAGAGCATATGTACCATATAACATACTGAATGACCTACACATTAAACGTGCTTCTATAAGGTGTTCTGTAGCGTGATTCTTCAAATTGATTGCTTTCTATTTTTTCTTTTTGTTTATTAATAGAATATATGCTATATGTATCTACACCCAGGTGCATGCTGAGAGATAATGCTTTAAAAGCAACACATCATCATTACATTCACTTCATGCTTTCTCGCACTTTTCACTGTGTATCTGCTGAAAACAACTTCTTATAATGCCATTGATTGGCAGATTACATTTGGTTATTCTAATGTAACAGTCATCCCAACTGTTCGAGGTATAAATAGATTTTCTAATTATTATACATTTGTGCATTCAGTTAATAATACTCATTACATTTAAATTAATCTTATAATACATTATACACACTACTTACCGTATATACCTGCATATAAGTCGACCCCCCACTTCGACATAAAAAATTCGTAGAAAATAAGAAACCCGTGTATAAGTCGACCCCCCACTTCCGAAATCGATCGAGAAACTTCGAAAAAATTTTTTTAAGTACTACATTTATTCAAAATCATTTAAGAAAAAAAAGTAAATATACAATAAAAAATACCTTAGTAAATAAACAAAATCAAAATCCTTCAACGTCCGATTCATGGTCAGATTCGCCAAACATTTCATAGAACTCTTTCTGTCATCATTGGCTCGTCATCATACATATTTTCAGTCTCGAACTCTGGTATCGTTACAATCACTACTAGAGCCTTCGTCGATCATTTTCACTTTCAAAAAACAGCATTCATCATCTGTGCCGTTCTAGTTCGTTGCTAATACAACATTTTTTAAATGATTTATAATCATTTCAGAGGATATTTCATTTCAAGCATCTTTAACCCACTGAGCAATTAATGTAATATTCGGGCTTTTTAATGTTGCCTGCCTTTGTAAATGTTGGTCGACGGAAGTAATCCACTCTGCCCAATATTTTCTAACATTTACTTTGAAGGGCTTATGAGGCAGACTTCTAGGGATTGAATGACGGATGTCAATCCTCCCGGATTTACGACCACAGTCGTTTTAAGGTGTTTTGTCACTTCTTCAGAAAAGTGTCCATGAAGAGAATCGTATATTAAAAGAGAAGGTTTTTTGAAAGCTGCTCCCTGTCTTTTATCCCACACATTTTTAAGCCAGTCGACTGTTCCGTCAGCATCCATCCATCCCTTTTCATGGGCGCGAACCAGCACACCTGATGGAAACACAACGTTTTTTGGTAAAGTTTTTCTTTTAAAAATGATCAACGGACGAAGCTTACTGCCGTCAGCCAGCACGAAGAATGATTGTAAAATGGGTTTTTCATGCCCGGTCGTTTTTATCAAAATGTTGTTTTCCCCCCTTGCAGTCAATTGTTTTATTTTCTGGTATCGACATGGGGGTTTCGTCCATATTCCCTATTTGGGAAAGTTCAAAAGAGGTCCTTTTTCTTACATCGATAATATATTTTTGAAACTCCATAACCTTTGCCAGTTTGGTGCGTTGGCGTAAACACAAACCATGGTGTTTCATAAATTTAGTGCACCAATGTGTTGATGCACGAAGCGTGTTTGAAACACCATACTTTTCTTCTTTTGCAAGCTTCATTGCTCGTAAACGTATGCCCGTTCTAGTGACAATGAAACCATTCTGCCGGCACTCTAAAACCCAAGCATACAAGTCATTTTTTAGTTCTGGAAAAAGAGCTTTTCCATGTCGCAATGCCTTTTTCGATTTCGGGATTTTTTGTAACTTTACTTTATTCTTGCGCCACTTTATTCTTACTTTATTCTTGACATGTATGCCTGTTAACAAAAGTATTTCATGAATGAACAATAACTATTATAAAGACTTATAAGTATGTAAAAACTATCTGCATTTCTCTTTTCTTTGCATGTTGGCGAAACTTTTTATTGCTCGATATTGATCGGTTGTTCGGGGGCCAAAAATTCTTTGGTTTAATCGAAACTTACACTAGTTAAAGTATGAAACTCTGTGATTAGTTCGTCACATAATTTAAGTCAGGAAATTGCTTCAAGTAAGTGACTTATTTGATAAGTCATCCAATTTGAGTGCGGGAAGAAAACAACTGCATTATATAAAGAAATTTTTGAACTTTTGATTCTTTTAATTTTTTATGGCCCCGCGTATAAGTTGACCCCCCACTTTGAAGTCTTTTTTTTGTCCAAAATATCTCGACTTATATGTGGGTATATATGGTATACATTAAAAATACACATAATGCTTAAATTGACAATATTGAATATACTTAAATTCACATTAATTGCTAAAATGCACTCAGATAATGAAATAATACAAATTATCTCTTAATTGTTGTTAATTATCAGTAATGCATTATCAGTCCTAAAATAATCACATTGTAATATTGTTATTCATTTTGATTATTAAGTGAAATACATAATAAATTTTTCAAAGTTCTCAAATGTTACCCTCAAAATCTTTTAAGGCCTTGTCAGTTATCACATATATGTGGACACACAAGAAATGTTCTTACCTTAGTCCTTAAAACTTTAAAGTCTTTAAAGCTTAGTCCAGTTCTTACCTTAGTCTTACCTTAAAATTTACCATGTGTGGATCACGTGTGGATACTTGGGCATTTTATCAAGGAATCAGTCTTGGTAAGTGGTTTGTATCCTGTTTGTCAACCTCTTCTCCTCCTCCTCCTCTTCATCATCATCAAAACTGTGCTCCCACTTCCATGTTTTAGTTAATTCCGTTGAGTTATGGTGGTAAAATAGCATCCTTGCGGCTTTGCTTCTAGTTGTGTTACTCTGTAAGTATCACTGGGTAATACTTTTGTTATTATAAATAGTCCTCATTATTTTGGCTGTGTTTTGGTAGGTCGGCATGTAGGTTTTAGAAAAGGTTTTCTCCTTGTTCAAATATTACTGTAGAACATCTCTTTATATTGAATCTTTCTTTCACTTTCATTTGTTGCTCTTTGATTCTTCCTGGCACTTGTTCTTAGATTTTTCTTGTGTTATTCTATGTGTCAGCATCTTCATCTGCTAACTTCCTAAGGATATCATCATTGAATCTGGGTGAATATCAGTGTAGCATTTCAAGTGGTGTTTTGTGTGTAGTTTATATATTTACCATGTTGTTCAAATTTCTATGTAAATCTTTTATTTTGGAATCCCAATCTCTGTGCTGTTTATCTAACAGACATGTTGTATCATTCCTAAATTTGTTATGTTGACGTGCTCTACCATACTATTGGTTTAGGGATCTTCAGTATAATTTAAGCTATAGTGAATTCCAATGTCAGTACAGTACTGCTTGAATTGAAAAGAAGTAAAATAGAATTATCTCTCACTCATTATTCTTTCCAGTAGACCAAAATCATTAAAAACTCCTTCAAAGACTTTAAAACATTTTTGGCACTAAGGTTTTATACATATATATTGCTAAAATTCTCACAAACCTTGCCATATTATCAATCAT